ATTTGGAATAAAATCTAATATCCAGTAATTTATGCCCGCTATAGTGAATTAATTAAATCATGCACTCACTATTAAAGCCATAATAATTTAAAAAAAATACATTTTCGTTTCGCCGTCTTTGCGTGCTACAAAAAAGGAAAAAAAGTTTAGAAGTTGAATTTCTAGTTTTCAACTTCTAACCAACATGAAGATGTTTCAAGTTAGAACGTAAACTAGAAGATTTCAAACCGTAAAGACATTTTCATGGCACCGGACGAGGAAAAGCGCGCAAAGTGGAACCGATTGTTAATTGGTTGAGCACATAAACATTTTTTACAGTCAACAGTATTATTTTTTGGGAATACCAGACGGATCGTCATGGTTCATAAAGCAAACTGAAAACCTGTATGTCTATTAATGTGTTGTTTTGTCGTTAAACTTGAATTTTTCCCACATCACTTTCATTATCGATAATCTAGAGAATAATAACATAATATTAATTACAGGTCCCGGCCAATACGTCCCAAAATCGTTTTATATCATTGATCAATTCGGGCACCAATCAAACCCAATTTTCATTAGAAACCGAAGAAATATCATGAACCCTCTCTTCAGAATAAAGAGGGGCAACGAGGGCGGAGGATACGCGTCCGCTTCGAGTCATGCGAGTGCTTCTGCTAGTAGTGGTGGTGGGGGGCCCACATATTACGGAGGTAACATAAAAAAAATAATTCAAAAAAAATTGGTGATTTTCGCTTCGAAATGACTAGGTAGAGGAAATTGCCAAACCGGTAAATCCGTGAACGTTAAAAAACCAATCACGATCTGCAAACGCCGTTTCGACTAGCTGTAGTTCGAATATTTAAATCAACTTTTTGTCCTGGTTTATAACAAGATCATGATGAGCGAGCCAAAATACGGCAATTTATTCGCTATTTGTCGCATACGAACAATGCCCGTAACGGCCCACTAGCTGATAGCAACTATTCTTGCATAAATTCGAATTTGTTGCAATAATGAGATTAATTACACATATACAGAGCGATCACACATATAGAGCGATCAAGTGTTCCACCATCGCTTTACTAGGCTTAGATACTCGAAATTTTAAAATTGTTAGGTGTAAACCAATATACATATACTCTCTTAAACTTAGGGTGCAAAACACACTGGTTTAGTTGATATTTTTTATCGTTTTTGATAATTGCAGTTCTATTTTCTTACCTACATATTATCAACTTATAGATTACGTGCCTAGTGTGGCTCATGACCCCTCGGGAATTATTGGACAAGTTCAAAATCTGTTGAACACTATTCCTGGTAAGTGATTGCTAAAAACTAAAATTTACAATAGCTGTAGCACCCGAGT